ACGTAAATTTACGATTTTCTTACGCACCGTAAGATTTACGTAGTTTTACGCTAAATTTTACGTAGGTTTACGATTTTCTTATGCACCGTAAAAACTTACGAAAGTTTATGCATATATATTTTTGCTGATGTACAAAAATAATTTCGTCAGCCATCTACAGATATATTTCTTTAATATACAATCTAGTTTCTGCATGTGTATATCGATTATAGTTCAAAAATTTATAGAAACGAATACAGGAATATGCAATTTCACTTGATATGTTCTAGTATATCTGTAGCAAGGTATATGAGATATATTATTACATAATTTATTTAATGTAGCATCAAGCTATAATACGGTTTATTTACTTATTGCTGAAGCAAGATGTATGAAATATATTATTACATAATTATTCTAATATAGCATCACACTATTTTATTTTATATATTTGATAAAAAAAATATACTAATATGTACCAGTAGATACGCTTTTAAAAATAAAATATTGATCTTGTATATTTCTGAATAATAAATATTATCGATATGACGCTAGAATTACATTAATTAAAATACTTATCACAATTGTAAGAATGAAATTATACTGTCTGGCAGACGCTTGTAATTTGTCTTATATTGTTATATGTGTCTTCGATTCGATAGATCATTGTTACCCAATAGTTATTTGGGCGACTATTCTAGAGTCAAAAATACAAGTATCTAATTAAATGACAATTTCCATGCTTAGTTTTATATTGTATAGTAAAAAGTTTATAAATAAATCGAATTATAAAATATTAATGAGCTATTATTCTTTTAATTAAAGTAAGAGTTTAAAAATATTGAAATAAAATTGGTTTATATTATCCTTGCAATAATGCTTCTTTATCTTCTTTAGATCTTTCATCTAACCAAATTAACCATAAAGAAGGAAAAGCATTGACAAATGCATTTTGCAACAACTCTACCTTGGTTTTCTTAATTTCATGAGTTTAGATCTGGAAGAGGAAAAGAATTTAGCAAAGGCGCTTATTTTAAACAAAACGTTGACTTCTTTAAATTCAAAATAATCAACTTGGTTTTGAGATGAGAATAAACTAGCAAATATTCTTTGCAAAAAAACTTTAATTTAATTAAATCTTTGTGCAAATAGAATTGGTTATGAAGGCGAGAAAATGGTAGTGCCGTTTTAATTGTTAGTAATAATTTGCAGATACCATGATGAAATTACTTTTCGAATATGCTACTACATTAATTCTTTTAATCCCAAATTGGTTCCTGATATTTACGTGGCAATCAAATTCAAGTTTAAATTCAAGATATTCGTATTACACTCATCATTATGTGTTCACTAGTTGACGATTTTGCTGAATAAAAAATTTGTTCAAACATTGATACTAATAAGATTGATTAAAAAAAATTATATGCATGATCATTCCCTTTGATAAATTTTCAGTATCAATACGATCTTTTTTCCCATAGAATTGCTCTCTAGGAAATAAACGTCATTATCATTTAATATACTCGTCAAAATCAATTAGTAACCACCAAAAACTATATAAATACCAACTTTTTTGTCGAATAACCTTTAGTTTAACAATAGAATACATTTATAAAATGACAATCTATTTTCTTGAACAACTTTCATGTAATTTAGATGACCTTCTTAAAAACAGTGACCTCCTTAAAAACAGTGACAAATACAATATTATTATTGAAGTTGGTCAACCACCAAACAGTAAAGAATTTAAGGTTCATTCAATTATTTTAAATTCTCGCTGTTTGTATTTTAAAAATAAATTACAATTGATGACTTACGACCATTCAAGCAATATTAAGATCATTAAAATAAATGACATTTCAATCAAAGTATTCGATATTATTATAAAGTAATTAATATTAAAATTTTTAATTGATTTATTTATAGTTAATGTTGATGCTTCTATTATCGTTGATCTTTTAATCGCCTCTAGAACAAAATTGTAAGTACAATATAAATATTTCAGAATGTCTTGATAATAATTTATATATCGTTTAATAGTATTTTGTAGGGAAGGTTGTAAATGTATTAATTGTATTCAACGAGTTGCCGAATATCAATATAACTCGAATGAATAAGATACAGGATCAGATTACGACATTCATTGGGAATATTATGATTAATAATTTAATCTTGGTTGCTGTCAGTAAACTTTTTAAATAACTTTATCCTTTGTAAAAATTGATATTTCACGAATTTTCAAATCAGTACTCGTGTACAATAAATAAGAAATTTTCAATTCTAAATTTCTAAATTTAAAAGTCAAGTAATAAAAATTATCAGGCAGATTAATACTTCAACTTCCACAGCTCATATCTCGATGAATATTGAAGCTAGTTTTATGATTTAATATCTCAAAAAAAGAATAAGTTCTAAGCTTTCTTTTGCATATTGAATCATCAAAATAGTTTCAAAATTCATCGTGATATGAGCTGTGAAAGTTGAGATATGGACTTTTAAAATGTCAATCTACCTGATTTCTATTGACGGCAACCCAAAAGATACTGTACAATGTGAATTACCATATTGGTCAAATAAATTGTAAATTTTTTTATTGGTCAGATTGATGAAAATCAAAACAACGTAAATTACTATATTGGTCAAATAAATTATCGATCATTATAAAATTTTCTATTGGTCAGATTTATAAAATCAAAACAACGTAAATTAAAAGCCATGTACCGACGTGATTTTTTGAAGTTTTAGAGTCAGGACTAGTTTAAATGTTAAGGTAAAAGTATGGATAAGTGCAGGTAGGGTTAGGTCTGTATACAAAAAAGTCCACTATAATAAGTATTCGCGCAATTATAACAATTCAAAAAAAATAAGCTCTAATAAGTCTTTGCACAATCATGACAATTCAAAAAAAAAACTACTTTAATGTTTTTGTACAACTATGACGATTCAAAAAAAACCATTCTAATAAGTCTTCGCGTAACTATACAATTCAAAAAAAAAACCCTGCTCTAATAAGTCTTCGCGCAACTATGAAAATTCAAAAAAAATCTGCTCTAATGCATTTTTTCTATAAATTTCCCGAAATTGAGAAAGAAAGAAGAGACACGTCTTATTAGTTAGAAATTTCAGATCTTGTGGAGAGTATGGATATCGGTTCTTAGTTGAAAACATTTCACGGAATGCTGAATATTTATGATAATCCAAGATGCAAGCCTGTCTTCATATATTTTTAGCACTGTCATTTGCTGATGTTGTTGCCCGTATTTTACTGTGCATATTTTCTACCCAATAATCATTAAATTGAACCAAGTTTTTTTCTATAGCTTCTTTTATTGGGTGACCATTCTTTTCCCAATAAAATATATCTGATAGAAAGGCAAGTGGGGCTTTTTCTCTTCCAACGCAGTGCAAAGGTCCATATACGAAATATTGTTTCTACATAGTCTTCAAAAGCACCAGACCAAAAGAGCAATGCGTAAACATCAAGGGCTGCTGGTACAATATTATCAAGAAGATCTACGATTACTTGATATTCAATATTTTTTTGCAGATAAGTAAATTTTTTTATCACATCTTCTTTAATTTTGATCCATGCAGAAAACGCCAACTCTAATAAAAGAGTTGTTCTCCACGGTCTAGGTTTTTTTGCTAGTTTCTTCTTTTTGCCAAACACATCATGAAAAAGGTTTTCAAAAAATGGATAATAAATTTTCATTGTATGCTCTCTTGTGTTAAGAGAAACATGCAACGGTCCAAGAAGAGGAATGAATAATTTTATTTCTGGTTGTACTAACAAATTTTTATTTCTGTTATGTAGATACGTTAGTGCTTTGCGAATAAAAAGCTGGCCTGGCCAATCTGCAACAAGTGGCGCCACATTGTCAGCAAGGCAATTTGTTACTTTATTATAATCCAAAATCATATTTAACGCATTAAGGTAGTCTTGTAGAGAATGAAGATGCTGTTCCTGTAGTCCTATTAAAATCGTAATTAGATATTAAACTATTTGTGTATTAATAATTGACAATTTTTGAAATCCCTTAATTTATTGTTCACCTTTCTTTTTGAAATTTTAAAATAATCATTTATATAACTATCTTCAGTCCGTTGGTCTTCTTCATTTGTTTGAGCGTCAAACATCAACTCATCAACTTGCGATGGTTGATCACTATTTAAATCCTAAGTTTTATTTAAAATGAAATATTGCATAATGTAAAATAGGCTAGCAACGGAAAAATATAAATTGTGGCAATAAATATTTTAACATCAATTACATCTTCAATGGTAATAGCTAGATCAGCGATTATATTCTTCGATAATTTTCATCAGAAATTAGAACCACTCCAGGTGCACCCAAATTTTCAGTATCTTTTAGTGCTATCACTTAAGAAAACTGTTGCTGAGTGCGATGGTTCATTGAAAAATATTTCTCTAACTTCCCCATTAGTAGCTTCCATATAAGATTTAACGAACTTTAGATAATTTCTTTTATTTTTTATAGTTTTGACTATCATTCTTTTTAACTGTGCTATTGCAAAAAAGAAAACAAAGAGAAAAACAAAGAGTTAATATATTTATCGTTCAATTATAAAACTATTTCTATTTACAATTTGACTAATGATTGCATCTTAGATTTTCTTGATTAATGATGATGTTAACTGATATACTTTATGATTTCAATAGTTAAATTATGTTGATTAATATTCTTAGTCATGATTTAGGATACAGACATTAGATATAGTAGTGATATATAGACTTCATTACCTAAATTTATATGAAGTGAAGGTGACTTGAAGAGATAGCTACCTTTGGCCTTTCAAATGATTTTTATTATACCAAGGGTGATTTAAACATATTGATATCCTTATATATTAACTTTACATCAATACAATGGCGAATTATAAGTGCTCTTTTTCATAACTTTAATATAATCTTATTCTGCATTACCAAAATCATAATTTTTTCCCAAATAGATCACTACATTATCGAAAATTATTAAAAAGTATCATGTATCTAACAATGTTCTCGCATGTTGCTCAATCGCAATATGTTTAGGATTCATGAAGATCATGCAGATTTATTCAAAGTTTGGATTTATGGGTACTGTAATTTCTGAAAATAGAACTGCAAGGTTTGTATTCGCAAATGCAATCGTTCGACGGCGTCTCAAATTTATGAAGGGCTTTTGAATGCTTGAACAATGATAATTTTTCATCTACACTAATATCAATTGGCCTAAACTCTGTAGACGAAAATGTTGCAAGTTCTGACAATAAACTCGATGATGAAATAAGGTTAAAGAAATGTTCAACTTGGCAATTAATAATCATAAGAATGAAAATTACGATGAAGCATTTATAACCTTTTTTGAGTTAGCAAATGAATATAAACATGAAATATCAATTACTATGATAATGGTATTCTGTGTCCAAAGACACAAAAAAGCACATGAATATTACTGAGGTTCTGCTGAAGTGAGTTGCAAAGATCATTTATTTATTACGCAAATTCTGTCTAAAAATAGCTTGTAAATATTTAAAGAAGTCAGCAATGCTAAGAAATTTTAAATCTGGCATAAAATTAGCTGAAATTATTCACCCTGAGCTTAGGGATGTCCTTTCTCTGGGTAAATGCAGTATGCTTCTGACATATTTGAATAATGGCAAAGCTTCCTATCATTAAACGAGAATGATATCCTGAAAAAGTAGAAGAATGGAATGCATATGAGAATAATATTAAAATATTGCGAAATGAAATTCAACAAATTTCCAACACTTGTAAAACTGGTTAGCAAATAGGAATTATACAGTAAATAAAATTTTATAACTAGATGATTCCACAGATTTAAATAAAATAAACGAAATTAATCAACTTTTAATAACCAAGTTGAAGTGGTATTTTTTGTTAAATTATATTAAAATTTATTGTTTATGAATTTAAATTATATTTTATTCTCATCTTGATGATAAGAGTTATTATTGAGTCCATGGGTTGTTCAAACGCTATATAAATATAAAAAATGTTCTGTTATTCCATGCCACAAATACTAGGTGAGTCTCATTTCGACAATCGTTTTTCGTCAGTTAAAGTCGAGATAAAATCTATGATCATAAGAGTTTGCACAATAACGATAATATATTGTAATAAAATTTTCGATGTAAAAACAGAGATTTGGAAATTGCAGATTATTTAAAAAAAATTTAATAACTAAATTGTGCAGCGTAATGATAGCTACAAATATAGATGTTTTACTTAACTACAAAATTTTGAAAATATCATAACATTATGATAATATTTTCGTTATGCTCAAAAGCATGTAAGACACTGCATTTTATTAGCTGGAGCTTGGTGAAAGCCTTTCAAGTCTTACTCTACTGAATTTTAGGAACGTCTGTCTCCCGCTTTAACTGATCGTTTAACAACCAGAATTGAATCTCAATGTCGTAGCAGACTTTTAATAGAATTTATTTAATGCTTCTGTATGATCACACAATTAACTAATTTTATTGTAGAATGTTATTTCTCCAACATTACTTGTTATTTTCCTAGTAATTTGTGTTCTTCCTTGTGCCATATACTGTAAATTGACTTTTTAAATAAAGTGTCTATATGGTGAATTAGAAGTTTGGTTTTCCCTATGCGTTACTTATTTCATAAAGTACTAATAACTTTTATTAGATGTACATGAAGTAGTAAAATCAAATGTAGTTTATAACCATTATAATAAAAAAATTTTTTGCCAATCTTTCTACAACAAATTTTTTGCTCTACGTCAGAACAATATATTATCCAGCTAATTAAAATAAACAATACCGGTAATAAAATGCAGAATGTTTTTTGATTATAGTATATTGATCTTTCTTGCAATTTATATGACTCATTACTTTTAATTTGTAAATTTGAATTGAATTTAGTGCGCGCTTTTTTTTTTTATGGAAAATGCGTAGCGTTGTATCAATTAATAATCAATTGTTAAATTTTTTTTTCATTAAAATTTAACAAGCATCGATTTAAAATAAATACGAATATGTCTAAGTTGATGATGAAGTGTTTCAATTTAACTGTAAACAGAAATATGATATGGCCTAGAAAAAACTTTATGAACATGAAAAAAATTCTCATTATGTCAAAAATGAAGCCAGGTTTATGATGGTGTATTATCTGAAATTGGGGATTCTCCGCAATCATTCAACATTTTTTTTTTTGATACTAGGTCAAGTATTCTTTCTATTTTTAATAATATAGTGAAAAAAATATGATAAAACAAAAGATAAAAAAAATGCATGCCCCCTAAGCATATAAAATATGATAATTCTCATAATCCTTATTGAGACCAAATATGTACTCCTTATGTGGATAATTATGTATATGGAACTATTAATTCTTTGGATTTAATTTTTGCAAGACTTAAAGTTATAGGTTAGAATTTTATTGTGGTAGATAGGATTGCAAAAAGTAAATAAAAATTGAAAGAGAAAATCAAATAAATTGTTTGTAATTTTGATGAGTTTAATATGCTGAGTAAAGACAACAGCATCCAATATTCTTTGAATATTACAAGCAAGACTTTTTTGAATTCTGAATACAACTTCGCAAAGAATTTAAGGACAAACATGACTTACAACAATATCAACATCTTATTCATCATGGTTAAGAATCATGAGCATGTATCCTATATGGAGGAGCTTTTGGATGATATTACTATTACCATCGATCTAATCAATAATTTATTATTTAGATACCAATCGGATAACATTCAAGAATTTACAACTATCCTTCGAAGATGTAATCCACGAAATATTCTTAACGTTTGCAAAAAGGACAGAATTATTACCATTTACAACAAAGATCATTATGAACAACTTCCTCTTAATGTAAAAAAAATCAAACATCAAAAGACAAAAGCAAAAAGCAAGGTTCAAAAAAGGAAGGCTAGTAAGAAAGTTAATCGTACAAAAATCGTGGAGGGAATGGGCTCCAAAAAAGATCTATACATAATCGATTAAAAGAATTGTTAAGATTTTAAAAGTATTTAAATTAGATCTTTTTCATTAAAATTAACTTATTTGGACCTTTCAAATAATAACTTTGATGCTACCAGGACTCCGAGCAATCTATAAGCAGCTAAGGTTTTTAAAAAATCTTAATATATTATTAAAAACAGAAAAGATCTACAGAAAAAATAATAAAAATAAGCAAAAGCAAATTGTTACCCATCTATATATAGCTCAGGGTCCTATGCTACCCTCTCTTTTTTAGATTTTTGGTAAAATAAATTCTAAAAAAAAAAGCATTAGTAGTATCTACTTCAGTTAATGACACATAAATGCCAAGACAAATTTTTGTTAACATATTTGATTTAAATATTTAGAAAATCTAATTAGTATTATCATCATTTGTTGATCTATTCAGAGTTACTTTTAAAATTCATTTAACTATTTTTAATCGATTGTACTTAGTGAGCTGTAAGGCTCATGACCATGAACTATTTGAGATAAGAAAGGTGGTTCGATAAACTGTAAGACTCATGGTTTATTTATAAAAAAAATTTTGTATCCTGGTTCTACTGTATAGCAACTTGTAAAAATTTTCATTATCTCAACAAAAGTATGCAAAGGAAGAAATGACAGATCTGTAATCGTCTAAGTATGTGTTATTATCTGATTTCCATACAAAGTACATAAGTTGCGTTTTTGATGCAACAGACTTATTAAAATCAAAAAGTAACTTCGAACTTTGTCACATATGACAAAATTTGAAGTTACTCTTGATTTAATAAATTTTGCATCAAAAACGCAACTTTTATCTTTCACTTTTTTCTATGCACCAAATTATCCACTTTACCTTGTGTTGAAACAAAGCCTTTATGCAATAATAGAGCTATGTATTACTAATGATTTTTTTCGACAAGTCAAAGTCTTGTTTTTAAAAAGAGCTTTTTCGACTGCTATTTTGTTCTTAGTATTAAGATGCACATAATTTATAAATTCACTTAAATGTTGTTTAATTGTTTGTAAGAACATTATCATTACTATGCAGGCTGAGATCAGATCATGTGATTAAGCATTTCATGTACTGTTAAGAGTTTAAGTATATAAATTTGGGTAAAATAAATTTGAAATTTTTGCAGAATTTGGATTTAATTTGTAAGCATACAAATATAAATGTAGAAATTATTACGTATTTTTAAAAATTCAATTACTTTTTTAAATTGCATTCCTGTAAATTATTTGAACTCAATTAGTTAATTCGAGTTCTTGATTTAGAATATGTAACAATACAAAGTGAAAAACAAAAAATATACTTAGAATATAAAATATATATGCTAAGCATAGTTTTGCTAGGCAATAAACACATTATATTGTATAAATTAAAAAATAATTAAATATAAAAATTTACAAATTGTAAATAACTTAAACCTGAAAAATGTCAAATAATTCTTCTAGCTGTGAAAGCAATTTAGAAAATTCTATTGTGCTAAATGTTAATTTAAATGCCTTAAAAAAGTCAGCATCAAGTGTATTTCAAGTAGCATGTACTTTTATACAAGAATTTAACGAAGGTGGTTTTTATAAAGTATATATAAGAATATATTGGAAGAGTAGCATTCCCAGTATATCCACAATGGAAGACAGAAAGTGAAGTAGCTGTTATAGAGTATATTCGTTTATATACTAACATCCCTGTTCCCAAAGTTTATTATTGGAATAGTTCTGTCAATAATCCAGTAGGAGCAGAATATATTTTAATGGAACATTTACCTGGCATTCGTCTTTGTAACATCTGGAGTGATCTTACCATGGAAAAAAAAAAGTTATTTCTTTTAAAAATTATTAACATTCTATTAGAATTTAAAAAACTCACATTTTCAAAAATTGGTAGTATCTTTTTTGATAATAAAAATGATAAATTTAAAATTGGACAGGTGATTGAAAGTAACTTTTTTATTGGTAAACGAGCAATTTTAACAACCTTGGAACAAGGACCCTTCAAAACAATGAAGGAGTATATTTTAGCTGTCATTCAAAATCAAATTTGTTACTATAGTACTTTTATATCTAAAGAAAAACAAATTTGTTGGATCACAAAATATGAACAATTATGCAAATTAGTACCAAAATATTTTCAGAATGATGAAAATGACACCTTCGCATTAACCCATGGGGACTTTTACTCATCAAACATTCTAGTCAATAATGATGAAATAACAGGAATCATAGATTGGGAATGTTCCAATGCATTTCCAATAGAATGCTTATGTACTTATCTAGTTCAGATAACTAATAGTCCTGTAATAGAACCAACTAACAAAGAGTCTATAGAACATATAATATTACAAAATTTTTTTCACGCTGAGATGTCTCATCGTAATCCTGATTTTATATGCACAATTGACAATATAGATAAAGAAAAAAAAGAATTTTATTCCGCAGTGTTTAGTTATTAAGTATGGAAAAATGAATTTTTTAATAAATATAATTTTTAGAACTTTTTCACCGAATTGTACTTTTATTTATTTGAACATTGAGAAAATCTAGTCCAAATTATAGTTTTTATAATGTTACTATCTTATTAACAATTAATATCTTATTACAGTTGTAATATAAAATTAGTTGACATGCTGGTTTTTCTCTAGATTTTTAATTTTATTTGTGCCATTGTTTTAGAGTAAACCTTGTATGGTTTACTAAATATTCTATAATTCTGGCAAAATTTATAAATTTTAATAATAAATTTTGTCTAATAATTTTGGTAATTGTCAAAATTATGATTTAAGACATAGGCTTTTCCTTTTATTAAGAACTTTGTAATATGATTTACATTGGAATAATATTAATATCATAGCTTCATTTAAATTACAACTTTGGAAAATTTAGAATACAAAAACTTGAAAATATTCTATTTAAGCAAAAACTCTTAGAATCAGTTAATTAATTTATTCGTTAAATTGAAATTTATTTTTAGAATTTTTTATTTTATTATTTATTGTAATTTCACTTTTAATTAATGTGACCTCTGTCATTTTTCATCTCTTTTAGTTATTAAATTATAAAAATTTTACTTGGTAATAATATGAAAATGAATTGCATATCAAAATCAGAATTTTGGATTTTGTCTAATTATCAAAAAAAAAATTTTCAGAGATTAGATGCGTGAAAACGAAATGAAAAATCCTGAGCTTTTAAACAAAAATCTTAAAAGTATCAGAGCCAATTCCCAAAGCAATATATATAATTTCATATTTCTCTAATTAAATGAAAATAATTTGGAATATAAAAATGTCAAAATGTTGACATGAACTGTATAAAGTCAGGTATTTAATAACATTTTAACTTCTTTTTTTTTTCTTTTTTGACACGTCCTGTGATTTCTTTATCTTTTTACATCTAAAACATTCCTTTTGTTCTCTATTCCTAGGAAATTTACATTCATTATATATTTTCATATACTTTTTGCAAAATCCAGATTTGTTACAAGTAGGGCAATGATGATTCCAATAGTTCATAGGAAATGGTCATAAAATATTAATTAGGTAAAAATTAATATAATATATTTATTAAACCTTGTTTTTAAAGAAAATATTTTTGTTTGCTTAGAGATGCAATCTTTTTTGAAAACTTTAATATATCCATTAGGTTTATATTTGTCCATTTTGATGTTAATTCTAAATGGATATCCAATGGAATTAATTATTGAATTTAGTACAAATATTACTTCTCTAATAACTACTTAATTCTTACCTTATAGCATCTTTGGCAGTTATAAGACTATCATATCAGTTTTTACATTGATTAATTAGAGAATTGTTAACGAAAATGATAACGAAAAACTAGACATTAAATTATGAATTACTCTAACGAGTAAACTCAATTAATTGTAATTTAAATTGACTTATTCTCAGATAGTAGATTTAAGGCTTTCTCACAATCAATTAATTAAATAATGATCACTCTAATGAGTAAACTCAATTGATTGTAATTTAAATTGACTTATTCTCAGATAGTAGATTTAGGGCTTTCTCACAATCAATTAATTAATTAAATAGAGCCGATCTTCTTAATTCGATCTCTAATTTATGAATTTTCATCCACCTCACCTCTGTTGTAGGTCATCAAATTTTTTTTGTTTTTTTTTAAACTATTGAGAGAGACACATTGCATGTTAAATTTTTTTATACAAAGGCTACTAAATATTGTTTTGTACTCTAACTATATCATGCAACAATTATTTTTTAGGTTTTATAAAAATCAACTTAATAAATAAATTACTAGCTGAATATCTGAATATGCTGTTGGGGACACACTTAATAGTGTAAAATTCATGTAATCTTATAGTTGAATTTTATATAATGCAATAAAATAATATTAAATTGACTTTATGGAATGATCAATAAAAGACACTAGATTGAAAAAATTATTTAACCTTTTATAATTTTAGTGAAATTAAAATATTAAGTTGTTGTTAAATAAAATGGATCAAGTATATCACTTTAAAAACTTAATAAAGAACAGTTTAATATATGAAATTTATTACATGGTCCCTATATTCTCATGGCTAATATTCCCACAGCTAATATTCCTTTGTATTAACCTTCAAAAAATTACAATACCAACCAATTAGAGAATTTAGCATATTTAAAAACCAAAGATCTTACGGACTTGTGGGTTCATTTAGTCATGTGATATTATACTTTACTGTAATAAAGAGTTCTGTATCTGTTTGCATCCATTTTTTTAGAATTTTAAGGTCCACTTCAAAATTATTTCAGATAAGAATGATTATAATTTAAAGATTTAAACTTTGAATAATAAAAGAAAGTATTAAATCTATCACTTAGCACTAATACCATCTTTTGGAATTAAAGTAAATCATTATTCATTTTGCTTTACTGTATAATAATAACGTTAATAACGTACAATATAAAAAAAAAATATATAAATAAATTTTTTATTTTTATTTTTTTATTTCTTTGATGATATTAAGATAAACTTAGCTTTACTTAAAGCTTCCGAAGTAATTACAAGAGGTCCGTTATCATCATATTCACACTCATAAATCTAGTGGTGTAGTAATTATATTAGTAATTAAATTAGTTCCATCATCATTATATTCTTGCTTATAATAAATCTTGGCTAGTGGTGTAAGTGCTTGACAACAAACTTTGAGGTCCACTTTATAAAGAATTCTTGCTGCCCTACTAAATTCCTTCTTAATTTTTTTAAAACTATCATAACTCACACCATTTCCAAGATTCCTTTCTATATTAAAAGGTTCTTTTATACATAATTTCCAATGCATCCAATTCAAGATCTGTAATAACCCACTTCTAAAAAAAGTAATTATTTTCTCTTGTTAAAATTATTTATTCATCCCTTATAATTACTTGTTAATTTTACGGGTTAACTAAATAGAAATATTTTTTTTCAATTTAAATATTTTTTTTTGAAATAATTTTTATTCTTTCTATATGATTACTTGTAAATTTTTGTGGTTTAATTTAATAAATGTTTTATTTATTGAAATAAAATTGTATTTAAAAACAGTCAATATTTAATATTTTGTGAAAATAAAATTATTTTTATCTTGATTTATAAAAAAGATGAAAATTTCTAAGAGTATTAATTGTCGTGGCTGATGCTGAAATCTAGGGTCACTATTTACTCACTAAAATTTACATATACTTTTTTATAGTGATTATATATTTATTTAGTTGAAAATGAATTTATATGCTAGACTTAGATTTGTTTTTGTAGGTAAAACCTCATTATTTGGATTAAAGAATAAAAGTCTATTAGTTTAGTATAAAATAACAGAATAGAGAACGAATAAATTTTATTTTGTTGACAATAAAATATATTGAATGTTTTTATATATATGAATAAAATTCTATAACAATGACTACTGCCTATTAATTTCGTATATTTGAACTTTTTATGTCCAAAGTTCGCCTTTTGACCTTACTCCAATGCAAGAATAAAGATTATCTTTAAGTCTCGAAATAACAGGTGATAAGGAAAGTAAGAGACAAGCTTGGCAATGTTTTGTTGCAAACGACGATTTAAGAAATTTTAATGTAATATATTACGTAATAATAATGAAAACAATGAGAGTAAAAATGCATAAATCAAAATTTTAACGCTGAAATCTTGCCTTCTATTACTTGGTATTCTTGTACGTTTTATAGAATATTTAGGTTATGCAGGCTTCCTAAAATATCGATATATTTTAAATTTTCATAACAAACCTATCAATCGGGTAACTATTTGTATAATACCAAAGATTCTGTCTGAATCGTGCACAACTTATTTTCACCAAAAGCAGTCAAATATATTGATACCGGTAAATTGAATCTTTTGTTCCGGACTAATAAAAAAGTTCCTCAAGCTTTTATTTTGAACTTTTGGTTGAAAAATTATCATTCTTTATTAAATATCTTATTTATACATAATGAAGTTAAGTAAATTGTTTAAAAAAAAAAAAGACGTAGCAATAGTTCTAGTTAAAACCACTACAGTATTTAGTCAGGTGACAGAACCAAATTTTACGCAATTTTCACAAGAATTAAACCTTTCAGCAAAAGCTTTAAATAATATTTATCAAACCCGATATACAATAGAAGAGGAGTTTCTTGAAGACCGTATTAATGATATTATTGAGGAAGGGAAAGTTTTTCGTAAATTAACCCAGCAAAGTATTCCCATATATGAGAAGATAGTCTCGTTTTGCTCAAAGATTATAAAACTTGTCTTAAGCCTTTCAAAGGAAAATATGAGAGGTACAATATTTATTGAAAAATCAATGAAATTGTTGTCTAAATTAAAAAGATATAAAAGCAACTCTGAACATTTGAAATCAGAATATAATAAAATTCAAATCAAATTGTCTAATATTACATCCAGATTACGAGATCATGAAAAAAGAATTCAAAAAGACCGTGAAGAAATAAGACATAGTGAAAAATGTATTGCAACAGTGATAGAGCAGGCTGGCAAGAAAGATCCTTATGAGCTTGTAGGAAATATAACAGCAGCGATAGCAACTGCAGCTGCAATTGGTGGTTTGATTAGTGGTAGCCTTTTTGTATTCATTGCTGTAAGTGGAGCTATAGGTACTGCATATGCATATAGTCATGAAAAACATATTCAAGATATTCAAGACTCACAAATTATTGTTAAAAATAATTTGACTCAAGAGAGAGAAAGATACAAGCATCAGTAGTTTCTCACAAAATATTCTTAATCAACTAGAATACATTGTAAATGTTATTAATAATTTTGATAATTTTTGGGATATTCAAATTAAAGAAATTACAGATTCAATCAGAAAATTTGAGGACATAAAAAATGATCATGGAATTAGATATGATCAAGACAAGGCAGAAGAAGTTATAGATAAATGGAAAAAAATTATAGAAGAATATGCTTATTATATAGCAACTCTCAAAGGATTGGGGCTAGCCTTATATTAAAAGGCTCAGAAGTAGAATCTGGTGTACATGTTATTTGAAAAATTACCTGATTACCAATTATCAATTATAGACATGTTGGACCATGAAAATTAATCTCAAATTTATTTTAATCCAATTTCATTATAGCATATTTTATATTCAATATTAATAAATTCTTTTCCCATTATGATTATTATTAAATATATACATATATATTGAAATCTATATTAAATATATAATAGCTACTAAGAATTGTATTTAAAATTTTCAAATATTCAATAAAAATACCGTAATGATAGTTTAATGAATATATCATGTGAAGAATATCCAGACATTCTGATCAGAGTAAGCCTAGTATTAGAGTTATACCCAATCATAGTTTAGCGAATATATCACGTATGAATCATTCGGACATTTGATCAATAAGCATAGAATGTAAGTCCTTCGCTACGCTCCAGATAATCAATCTGTAAAGGCAAAAAACATAAAACAAGAAATATCCGTAAATATGGGTAAACTGATTTAAAAGAGGCTTTTTTTATCACGATGATGATCCAGACTTTGTCAAATGCATAGTAATATAATAATTGTAATTTCGATATTTTAAAAATGTAACTTCTGAAAAAGACGGACAAAATTTTCTTTTTTTATGAAAATTTCATTTCTTGAAATTGCAAGGCATAAATATAACATAAGATACAGAAAAAATTGTACCTATTTATTGAAAAATAGTAATACCATCCGATTCACGCATGTGTATTGCAAATAATATCATATATATTATAGTTAGAAATAAATATAAAAGAAGTTATATAAGCTAATAAAGAAGTGATAAATCATTTATGTTATAGCAAATTAAGGTCTGAACTAAACTTTGTGTTAGAATTAGAATTAGGCCACATGGAGCCTAATCAACCAATTTAATAAAAATGGTTGACATCATACATTATTCATTTAGTTCATCTGGATATATGAGGGCAGGTCAATATAAAACAAGTAGATTGTTTCTAGCAAAATTTTTTAAGCATTTAATTAAAATATTTCAACAATTGTCAATCAAATTTAATAATTTTTATTTTATTTTATTCTAACTTTATAGAAACTATATAAAATTTTTTTTTATTAAATTTGATTTGATAATTGTAGAGATATTTAATTTAAAGTTTAATACAAAATTAAAAAAATTGCCTAACCTCCCTCATATTTCTTTATACATGACTCAAATTTTGATCCTTGTTTAAATAAAAAGAAGATTATTGTACAGTAGATGCGTATCCAAGTCATTCCAATAGAATTACTTATATCTTTGTCTTGAAATATAGTATATAACTTTTAACTGACTTAGTAGTTATGTTCATAATGATAAACTTCATTACATAACTTTCGTTGATTACATTTAGAAAGTTTTTAAAACAGTAAAGATTATATATTCATATATCTTAAAGATAGCAAAACAATGTTAATTATGGAGAAAAGTGTTATTAGTAGTATCGAACTTCACAATTGACTTTATATAAACTCGAATCAGCAATCTTATTACAGTATATTCTTTTAATAGATTTACGACAATTTTTTCAATGATATTAATATCAGATAGTGCGCATCTAATTGCTCATAAAGCATGAATGAATAACTTTCTCAATATAAAGTTTAGAAATAAAAGAAAAGATTACACTGAGATAACTAATAATATGATTCACATGACATCGGACTAAGAAAAATAAAATTCTTAAAAATTTTTAATTTGGTTAATTCAATGTATGTCATACCCCGCAGTGTAGTTTAATATTTTGGTCTACATTAAGCTTAACTTGGCCTAAATTAAGCTTAATATATGCAGTTATCTTGAGGCTAGCTTAGCTTAGCTTAGAAAAATATAAACATTATGGTAAGCTAATTTGACGGTTTAAGTTGACACAACTCTTATTTTAACACAAGAAAGGTTATATCAATAATATTCTATAATTTTGAACTCCTACAGCATCAAGATTAGGGATTTAAATTTAATTACAGAATAATTTTATTTTTCGAAAATATTTTTGTTTTGATAATTAGAATAATTACGATATATCATAATCAATTTTAGAATTATAAAAACAAAAATTGTTACAATAATTCAATAATGATCTTATTGATTTTAACGAATCAACTTCTACAAATTTATCGTAGTTCAAAAACTTAAGCACATTACACAACACTATCGGCCTTTAAATAATACGATCAATTTATTTTAACGAACTTACACACGTTACACAACACTATCGGTTTTTTAAAAATACAGTTGTGTACTGTTGCAAACCCACCATGTCCAATATATATGGGTTACTAAATTTTGAATAATCAAAACATTTTACATTGTATTTTTTTAAATATGATTCTAACAGCTCCGAATATTGATTTATTGGTTTTTCTGCATCACCGCAATTCAGAACATTCTCATCCTACATGTCTGAAATGTTTGGACAGTTATTGATGGTATTGTTATTGTTGTTTGGATTAATAATATTATTGTTGGGTTCAATGATGCTGTCATTGCTGTTGCAAGTTCTAATATTTGTTGGTTTGAGGATTTTTTTGTAAATAATAGTAATAACAAATATTACTAAAATGACGCTACCAATGACCGCCCAGATAATTACGCTAATATTTTTAGAGTCTGGAGTAGTTTGTGTATTATTTGGAATTGTGCTATTTGGATTAAATTCAGTAACCCATCTATAAGAATTTTTATTGCTTATATCTAGTAAAAATAAATTTGTAATATAATTTCCCTTATCATCTCTACCTATCAAATTAAAATAAATATTGAATATGTTTAAATAATTTGTATAGAGTTAAACATTATAAAGCAGGAAATATTTCCAAAAGCAAAAATTATATAATTATTTATCAATGTTGCGGTATGACAGCTGATATTATTTGGACCATTTTCCTGATTTGAAATGTTTCCTCTTGACCATTGATAAGTGAATATATCCAAGATATACACCAACAAATTGACCATTAATATCGCCACCATATATTATGATACGCCTATCAGACGCTGCATTGATGTAACTTAATTAATAGAAAAATCTAATACTGTATTACATATATTTTAAATATACAGTAAATTTTCGCACTTAACACTGCTGAGGAATATGTACAAGGAGAAGGAGTAGAACCTGAAGTTGCCTGAAATAATAATGTTGGGTTTAATGCCAAAAAGATTATCTATTGTTTGTTTATCTATGAGTGGCTACATTATAAAGTGGCAACTACAAACAATTATATATATAAGTAAATAAAATATGTATAAAGACATTTAACAAATGATAATATTTACTGAATTTATTTGAAAAGTTTGAGAGTGAACCGTATTGCTAACTCCACCAATATATAAGAGATTCCCATCCAGTAAAGAAATTACACAATAACAGCATCGGCCTTGTGGTGCATCATTTGCAGTAATTGAACTCCACAAGTAAGTAATAGTATCGAATATCCAAAGAACATTCGACATGTTATAATTTTCACTAAAAATGACAATCGTCGTATTGATTTTTGCGCATGAAATATTATGAATGGTAAAATCAGGGGCACTTCCACTAAATGTAACATTATTCCATTGTTGCTTGTTTATATCAAATTTATTAATAAACTTTTCTGGAGAACTGGAATTACTAGAATTGCCACCAATGATAAAGATCTCATCATCATTAATACCACCAATACAAGCTGCTGCTTTTTCTTTTCCAGGACCAACAGTATAAGTAAGGTTAATCCATGGTATTGATGCATTGTTAGTTGTCGTGAATAATTTAGAAACATCTAAGTAGAAAAATTCATTGGCAAATTAGTAAATATCATTGGGGTTTTGTGGTGCTTTCTACTACTAAAATAAATCTTTTTATCATAAAGAACTGCGACATGCCAATATCTTCCGGCAGTGACAAAATTTGCATAAGAGACAATTTTTAAGAGAAAAATGAAAATATAAATCGTGAAACCATATATATTATGATATTAAATGACATTAAACAATTTTTTTTCTATGTTTGCGAAAATGACATAAGTGCTGCCAAGAGAAACAGTGTACTGTAAAACTGTGATATAACCCACACCTGTGCACAGTATGTGTGTTATAGTACACAATGTCTTACTAGTAGGGATTGGAACCGCCTAAAGATTTTCTTAATTGTTTTAATCATTTGACTGTTTAAACGTTTAATTTGGCCAGCATTAAGATAACCCCGGCCCATTATCAACATAATAATTGAAAAAGTGAATTGGAATTTGGTTTTTTCTGATGATTGAAATATAATTTAGTTGCCCTGATTTCATCAAGTAATAAAGAATATCTTTTTGATAATTTTTTATATAAATATTCATAATATGATTTGGTTTCAAGTTTATAAGTAATATTGGCTTGATGTTTTATGTTATTAAATTCGTCCACATAAAATTCAATTTCTTTAATTACTTTGGCTTCATAATATAAGGAATTATATAAAGAACAATATTTATTTATTAATTTTTCATATAGAATGGTTTGGTTTCAATTTTGTGAGTATTTTTTCAGAACATTCACATATTTTCGCTATTAAACTAGTCTTGTTTGCATTAATATACTTTTTAAAATCAGGTTTCATTTTCAACAATTTGATATTTTAAAATTTCTCTATTTATAAAAATATCTGACATAATTATAAGTAGAGATGCAATTCGTTATCCTTTTTCCTATTTAAAGTTTAATGGATACCTGGATATCCAGATATTTCAATTACCCTTTTCTAATTTTTAATTTTAAAGCCATTACTAGATTTGTTTAAATAAATTTATTCACAAAAGCGAAAATAAAGAGAGATGAATTCAATTAAGTTTAACCTTATTTAATTGGCAAATATTAATTAAAATGATAACGATACAAAATAAGGAATTGTTAATAAATCAGCAGAAGAATTTAAGTTTCGTAAAAATGGTTGATATCTTCATTATTTTGGTTGTTGCTATTTTCAATCATATGGTTGCAGTTATTTTCA